TACAAAATTTAATACAGTAACATGAGTTGCATATTCACCAAGTGATTTACAACTTGTGTGGTGGGATTATTAGTTAGACATGTTTCAAAGGGCAATAAAATTAAGTATAAACAGATGTATACTGTTACAAGCTTTAAGCTAGTTAGGATAAATAATTGTAGTTTTAGGTAACAATTTGCAGTCATTCGAGAAATAAAACATAGGTGATTTAGGTTTATGGTTGCTATGAGGTCAGTCAAATTGAGTTGAGAAAATAACAGATAAAATATAAAACTTTACTGGAAAAAAAATGTTTGATATTTATTTTGGGGTTTTCAGAGATTATGCAAATGAAACTTGACAATTTTCAGAGGAATAAAAGTATTTTTAATTTTAACATGAAAATCACTTTGCATTCAGAACAGCCAACACTTTAACTCCATATGTTCATGGACAAATGTTTAGTAAAAATACTTAATTAAAAAATCTGATTTTCTGTGTACAAAAGACTTGTAATGTTTATGAAAGCTTCCAGATTTTTTAAAGATACACTCAAATTAAAAGTTATAGAATGGAAACTGGTGGTTACTTTGTAGTTATTGACCGAGTCCATAGTGAGAGAGTTAACTAATTTGTTTTTATCTGTTTCATGGATTTTTCTATTTCTATTCAAAAGCCAATATGATATTTTCATTGTACCTTTAAGAAAATGTGATTCAATTTATAATCTAAATTGTTATGTATTAGCTGAGGCATTTATTTTTTTGTTTACTATATAATTTTAAGTGCTATGAAAAAAAAATTATAGAGTAAATTTATCTACTCTGCTATTTACTTAAATTGTAAATGGTTTGATGTAGAACTAACTCAGTTAAGAATAGGATACTTCCCATGCTCGGTTGAATAAATGATGAATTTAATAAGGGTAAGTTTATTTTAAATAGGAAGTATTATAACAAAGCTGAAAAAGAAAGGTTATGTTAAAGCTAATCAGCTTTGAGTTTATTTTAGATAGGAACTATAATAACAAAGGAAAAAAAAAGGTTAGTTAAATCTGATTAGTTTTGGGAGATTAAATAACTGTCTGTAGAATAGTATAATTAATTTACAGAAAACATAAGTTATACTGTAACTAGTCATTTGTATTGAATGTTATCAAACTAAAATTTGTATCACACATGATGTTTTGTCATAAATTGTATTTTTTTGTTTTCCTTAATAGGAACAAGAAGAAAGAAAACGACAAGTGCTGTTAGATGCCGTAAATCAGGCTCAAGCTGCAGCTGAAGCTGATAAGAAGGCTCGTAAAGCTCAGCGACTTGGCAGACAGAAAGTAGTGTCCGATAGTGACGAAACAAATAGCCTCAGTCATTATCATGCACAGAATAACCATTCATACAATCCAAATGATGGAGCGCTATCTGATCCTGAACTAGCTAGACACACAGACAGTCCGTTACATGCATCAAGAAGTGAGATTGAAGATTCATCTGAAAAAAGTATGTTCATGTTCCATTGAATAGTCTCATTCTTTTCATTGATTTGTTTCACAAAGCATACCAAAAGTATGCCTTTTTTTTTTAATATTTTTCTAACATTCAGTTTTACACTGTATACAATTGTATTAGTTATTTCGGAATTGTTTTATATGACAAGACAAATAATGAATTAAAATTTTCAATTCTGTTTTTTTTCTGAAAAGTAGAAATGGGAACAGGAAAATTGCAATTAATTCCCATTCAAATATTTATTGACAAAACATTTTCTGTTAAATTACTGTTTTACCACTATAAAGAGTGGAAAAAGCTCTTATTTTGGATTTTTTATCTGTGTTCTTTAAAAAGTTTTGTTTTTCGGTAGATAACAGAAGCAAATGATTCATCACAGTATGAAGTTTCATAATTTCGGTTCTACAAAATTAGGTCTTTGTTAGAAAACAATCCACATCTTACTCGTGTTGTTAGTTAAGTGATGGCTGATGTGCACTGGTCAAAAATGTGGAATAACTCGTTTGACTGTAGGGTTACAGCTTCTAGAAGCTGAAATGTCTTCCCACTCTAGAAAAAGCAAGAGCACTCCATTAAAGCCAAAACTATACTCTGTCTACACTGCCTAAAAACAACTCAATTGATTGCATGAATCATTTATAGTGAACTGTATACAGTGGCTGAAAGATATGATTGTAAATGTAATTGAAATTTTAAAACCAAAAAGAGCATTTTATTCATTCATAATATAATCTGCTAAAAATTTATTTGATAAACAATAGTCATATATAGATCTGAATTTTTTGCTTAAAGTCTTTAAAATATTAGTATATTATTTCAATGTGATTTACACCTATTTTTTTTTCCCCATATTCAGACGTATGAGTTTTTACAAATTCTAGAAGCAATAATTAAAGGTAATAGCTTGTAATAAATTTCAAACTAGTTATTCTTTGTATTGGGAAAGAATAAAATTAATATTGTTATAATACTAATTTTGATTATTCATATAACATTTTCTTTCAAAATTTGTGGTAGAATATGTGTAGGTTGATTGTATCTTTTGTTATTTTGTTTTATTTTAGCAAGTATGAGGGTTAAATGTCTAATATTGTTATTTTTAATGTACCTATTTTTCTCAAAATTTCATATGTACACAGTGCATAATTATTAACATTTGTTTGATTCTTTCCTTAGAGTATTGTAAGTGATCAAGAGTTATCAGTTTTAATTGTTTCTTTGTTATAAATTATTAAATTGTAACACTCTTCGTGTCTTTAGCTCCAAGATATACCCAACAGATGGCTAGGGTACAGCCAGTCCAAACAGTTGAACATCAGTGGGCCTCTGACAACAACCTCACACAAGATACTTCTGGTTCTACCAATCGTGAATTTGCGGTACAAACAACCAATTCCACATCAGCGACTGTGGTCCATTCTCCTTATATTGAGAACCGAATTCTCACTCCTTCAAAACATAGACTGAGGGCTAAGCAGGTGGAACTTTTAGGACGTGAATTTGGGACCCAGACAGAAACGGACACCTCCGAAAAGTGGTTAACAGATAATGTGGATGCAGACAGGTCAGTCGAATCAGATTTTTTGAGATTGGAAAAGGTGTAAAAAAAAATATGTTTGGCAAGCCGATATGCACATGAATTTCCTGGTTAATGTATCTGACACGGAGGCAAATCAAGTCTCTCCTATCCCACCCAAACAACCATTTTAGTTACCTAACTGGGATATAAATGTGGTGTTACATGCTCTTTTTAGATATCTTAGCCTCATGTACCACTTTTCCCTTAAGCTTTATTTTTTCTTGCTGCTGACCTGCAGACGTTGGCAGTTGAAGTTGTTTGCACTGCACAGGCATAGGACGCTTTATCATTCTACCTATGTCCTTCTATACCCATACAAGTCCTTCTTATCTAAGACACTGGCAGCCAGGGAAGGGGATAAATCCTTTTCACTAATTCATCTGACTGCTATATCTCGCATCTATGACTGATCTGATCCCGATCACTTGTTATGTTCACTGAGGGCCTTGAGGTGTTAGGTTGCCCGCTTTTTTAGAGGTGCTAAACAAGAGCTTTTTATTCATTGTATCTCTTCAGTTTCTAGGAATTTATCCCCGATTACCATGGCAGGATGGGTACAACAGTTGATCTGTATTGCTTATTCTGGGCTCTGTTTGAAGGCATGGAGACTTCTGTAAGTCATGTCTCATCAAATTCATCACATTTCTATGTCTTTAACTGCCTGATTGAATTGACCACTGGAGGACATTGTGCAGTTTGGTGTGTGGTCCTCACCCAATACTTTTTATCTCACATTATTTGCATGATCTGGCAATTTCTTCCTCTGAGGGTTTTTGATGACCCCCTGCAGCTATATTAACCACATCTGCTAGATTGTAAAGAGGGGGGAGTATTTTCATTACTAATCTCAGCTCTTCTTTCCTTTTCAGAGTCCCATACCTTTTTTCACAGGATCCCACTCTGTGATGAGTGTTGCTCGAGCAGGTGTGCTTTTATCAAACCAATTCCACACTAACAACCACTAATTCAATATACTTTATGTAGGTTGCAACAGGCTCTTTAGAAATGAGATGTTCCATAAGACCAACTAAAGGCTGATTGGGTGGGGTTATTGTACTATGCTGGACCACCTCTCATGGACTATCATGAGTAAAGCATAAGGGGATCCTGTCTGTCCCCACTGATAAATGGATTGAATAAATTGGGATTGGTTTGCTTTTAAAAATGTAGGGGACTTGGTTCACCTATTGCACTGTTTTCAGAGCACTGTTCCTCAGGTCTCCCCAGTGTGCATTACCCCCCTGATTCTACTAGTGGAGCTCCTTACCACACCCTGTTTCCAGTCACTGAGGTGGTGGACAGAATTTACTTCTCCAGAGGGTTCAAGTCACTTTCCTCCACTCATGGAGAAGAGGGCGAAGTTGGGGGCTTTCCTCCGTGGGACCCTGGATGTTTTTTTCCTAGATGTCTGTAGGAGAGGCACCAGCCTATGCCGAAACAAATTCGTAGTACCAGTTGAGATTTGATGCTCAGTTATCCGGTTGGGTTGAGCGTGGACCTACTTTTTGATCAATGTCGGTTCAGTACATTGCTCATGGAAGAGGGTCCATTGTCTTCTTGTAATTCCAAATGGAGGGTGGTCCCATCCTGTGTCCTTGGATGAGCACAGTTTATTCCTCGTCCTTCCCTTAATTCAGGGGGCAAGTGTAATTTACCTTGCCCACATGGTTGGGGAGTGATGATGAGCATTCATAATTCCAGACTGGATGAATTTTGTTTCCTCAGGTTGAGTATGGCATATAGGATCCCCTCATTCTGAGTTTAGGGTGTTGCCTTTTGGACCTCTTCGGGTTGAGGAAAGGGTTTGTCTACTTCAATGTTGTTAACCTTCTCATTGTGATTATGGTGGCTTGGAATGCACCCTCTATGGCTACAGGTTGGGATACACTCACAACTATATATGTGGCAATCCAAATTTAGGGACCATGGCCTTATAATTTCAACCCCAAGCAGTGGGACCTTGAATACCTAGTTGTGGCTTAGCCAGTAATGATGATGAATCATGTCATGTCAGAGGAAGTAAGTATGTTTTTTAAGTCGAAAATGTATTTCCAATAATACTTGCCTCCTCTCCCACCCTTCTTCCCCACTAAGAGCCAGTGTTATAGACTGCAGATTGGGTCAGTCTCAAAAAAGTTATAACATTATCTGAAGGAGGTGCTTATATGTAGTACCATGATAGAGGGCGCATTGATATAGGTGGAGAGTGTTATGAAACAGATATTGCCAAGAGCAATTAAGTGTGGAATAAAAGACTAGAGCAAGCGAGAAAAAATCAGACCAATGCTTAGATGGGCAAAGGAAAAGAAACCCTAGCAGTTGACCAATAGCTGTAGTGTGAGAGGAGGTGAATATTATTGTAAATACATATTTGATTTAAGAAAATATTAATATTTGTTGGATGATACTAGTTTGTTATTTATGTCATTTTGTAGAAGTCTGCTTCATTTTATTAAAGATGAAGTAGACTTGAATAAACGTATTCATGTTGGTTCCACTTGTTTGATCCTTCCACAAATCTCTAATTGTTGAAAAAAATACTATTTTCTTTTAATAGTGACTATTTAAGTTTGTATTGTATGCTTGATAAGTAAAAGGATATTCAGATTAAAAGAAATAATGATAAATACAATTCTTGTAGTATAGTATAGACTTCAAACTTTGTAAAGGGAAGGTTAGTGAAATAAACTAAAAGTTATAAAATTATTTTGCTGTTAGTCTTTTTGTTTCGTAATATAACCATAGAAATGGAAATAATAAAATACTGTCATAGTTAAGAAATTAACAATTCTGTAATCTGAGGTAAGTTATTAATCTTATAATTAGATTGAAACCTTTAGGTTTTAAAAATCCAACTAGTGTATTTTTTTTATATATACACTTTAAGAATATAAACTAATTACACAAATGTTGAAGTGACAAAAACAATAATCTTCATCCTATTTTTTAGAAATATTTTGCATAATGCTTTACAAATAATACAAAATATTGTAACTACATTAACTCTTCCATTGCGAGTTGGGTGGAATTTACCCCGCACGTAACCACAAAAGTAATTATACTATAATTTTTGATAATGTTTGCATATCTTTACAAAATTTTGCAAGTTATTGGTAAACATTAAAAGACTTTCAAACACAAAATATTAGGTTTTTAATCAAGTGTTAAGATTTTTTAATTAAAGATTTTCTCATAAATTTTTTTTCTTTCAGGATGTTGACTATCCAACATGCAAAGTAATTTTGATTTTAAGAATAAAAAATACTTTTATGCATCAAATAATTATCAAATATTTTGTAGAAAAACAAATTTTTATCTATTATTTTCACTATTATATCTCTGTATGGATTATAACTCCATAAAAAAAAATTAGGAAATAAATATGTTACGTTTTTTTCTTTCTAGAATGACTGCAGATTATAACACAAAAACACACATGTTTAGTCTAAATAGCCTAAAGTTCATAACATTATACATAGAATGGTAAATAAAGAAGTAAAGCAAACAATTATCTCTTTTTGTTATGACCTTTGTACTTGTTTGCTGCTTGTCGTAGGTTGCTAAGCCTTATAATATTTTGCATGTGGAGGATGTGAAACGAAATAATCTTTTTAGGTTTTATATATAAATTTATATAACCAAATAAATCATAAATTACTATATTAATACCATAGAATTCCACTATAACTTATCAAGGTTAGAAACTAAGCTGAATTTGGGTCTAAAAAAATATAAAATTTCAAGAAGACTAAAAGACTCAACTTACCAGCTTGAAGATTTGTATAGAAAGAATGATATGATGTCATAATACTTGAAAATGGCTGAGAAAGCCACTAGGGGACATTCTGAACTTTCAATTGGTTATTCACATGTCATAGACAGAAGTAACTGTATATAAGGGAGTGTTTCCAAAAGTGGAAAGAGGTGGGTGGGGTGCCACTGTGTTTGATTTATTACATGAGAAATGTCTTAACAAATAGAAAAGATAGGACATTCTTTTTTGATATTCTAGTTTATCAGTATTGGTAATTTGAGTTTCTAATTTGTACAAAACTACATACTTTGTATTTTGACTTCACAAACATCTAATTTGAACCAGTGCTGCATTCAATATACCACTTGACACACAAAAATTTATGTTTATCTGTGTTTTTTTAATATTTACTTTTAAATTGAGAAGTTAACTAATGGATCATAATAAATTTGAATTATAATCTATAATTTGATACCAAACTTATTGACATACATTCATAAAATTGTAGTTCAATAAAATTTTGAATGTGAGTCAACAAACACGATGTGTCATGGCCTTTGACACTTAGTAGTTGGGTTAATACTCTTTGGTAGAGGAAGAAATCAGTGTGATGATATTAATTATCATCATTTTACCTTTTCATGATAAGTGAAGAATATATCTTTAGTTAGATATTTTCAGGTAAATATTTCTAAATTTTTCTATACATGTTTTGCATGTAGTTAATGACATCATTTTAATTCAGATGTAGGAATTGCATAAACTTATACTAATTCTCTACCTCAGACAGAGGTTGCATAGTACAATGCTTTTTTCTGTTGCTCATACCTATTGGCTCTGAATGTATGTCATGTCCTCCTGGAGTGGGGTCACACTTATTCAAGATTTTTACAAGTTGGTATGCATTGGGAGTTCTTTTCCTTGAATATATTTATTTGAAATTATTTAGATAACCTAAGGATTGTGGGATACAGCATTAAGACCTTGGTCTTTTAGAAAACAATGTACATGATTCCTTCTATCTCTCTCTCTAGTGTATTTTTGACCTGTCTGTGTCTTTGTGAATATTTTGCAGACAGTTATAGTCTAACTACTTACAGAAGCCAGCCAGTGAGATATATATTTGCACTATTTATATGAATAAAGATTTTGTACACTTGTGTGTTTTGTATTTCCTTTGCTGTCTGTGTTTAAAATTATTTCCTAAATAACATTTCTGCAACCTGCATTTTGTGGATACTTTATACTTTTCTTGTGGATATCAGTATACTTAAATACTACTATAATTGTTAATTTTCTCTGGTTACTGGACAGTGAAAAATAAACTGTGAATTTCATACCTTGCTATTAACTTCACATAGATAAACCTATCAAAAAATAAAGTTATAATTAAGCTCTTTGTTATGTTATACCATGTTCTGTATACATTGGTGAAACAAGCAAAAGAAGTACGGATAGAATTAACTAAAAACTTTGAGATGTGACTGAAAATTGTGACAAACATGATATAACTAATGTTGATCGTCCCATAATAACAAACATTCTTATCTGCCTCCACAATTTTGTAGATAAAAATGCAAAGAAACCCTATTATTTATGACAAATTTTGTTATGTAACTTGTTATTTGTGTAGTTCAATTGTTGTAATTTGATGTTGCATTACTCGAACCTTCTGTACTTTTCTCATTGCCTTAAGTGAGTATTGTTACATCATAGCTTCTCGTAGCTTGTAGAAAGTTATAGGCCACGATTGGGCAATGTGTGTGTGTGAGTGCAAGTTAAATCAGAAAGCATTAAGCTAGTAAAAGGGAAGCTAGTCTGCGTGATTGTTAGTTTAGCCATAACATCCAGTATTTAAAGTTAGTTTCACAGTGGTATTGTAATAACTGAGATAAAGAAGAAGAATTTGTCTTGTCAAAGGGTGTTCTAAAGTAATTGAACCCACCTGTGTGGGCTTTCACTAAAAGGAGACAATTATTTAAAGTAAAGAAGAAGAATTTGTCTTGTCAAAGGGTGTTCTAAAGTAATTGAACCCACCTGTGTGGGCTTTCACTAAAAGGAGACAATTATTTAAAGTTCTGGATATATGGGGTAACATGAGGGGACCCATCGCAGATTGTGCAGTAAGAAACAGACTAGAGAAAAATAATTATTCTTTTCAGTTGGATTCTAAAGTAACTGAACTAGCCTGTGTGGACTTTTGACAAGAAAAGAGAATTATTTAGAATTTTAAATACAACTGTGATATCCTATAGTGTAGATAATTTTTTGTACATATGTTTGACTTTAAATTCAATGACGAGGAACCCACTTTGAGACTGATAATGGTTGGAGACGGCTTGAATGGGTAATGAAGAAAAACTTTAATATAAGTTTAACATAACAGCAAATGTACAACGTTTCGACAAGTACCTGATGATGAC